ATGTGAATTAGGTGTTGGATTTTTCTTTAAATCACTGAAATCATTTTTATGATTCTGATTTTTTCTTGATTCATCATATAAATACTGTAATTCGTGATTCCCATCTTTAGATTCATAGTTGTCTGTTTTATGTGCATCATTAAATAGTTTCTCAGAATAGAAGTCATCTTTTAAAGTATTATATCTTTTTTCAAGATGATCATTATCTCTGTATACATTTGATGTTTTCTCATTTGGCATATTACAACTCAATGAATTGTGTAGTTTTGCAAAGTCTTCCGTAGGATCAATTAATTTGGGCTGCTTAGTTGGTTGTTTGTTAACATCTTGAGAATTCTTTTGTTCTCCGAAACCGTCAACTGGACGAATTATAGTTGGTTTTTTCACAGGTGGTCTGTTAACATTAATAGAATTGTAGAGCTTTCCAAAGTCATCAGTAGGAGTAATTATAGCTGGTTTGTTCCAAGGATGTTTGTTAACGTTAATAGAGTTGTGAAGCTTTCCAAAGTCATCAGTAGGAGTAATTATAGCGGGTTTATTCGTCGATTGCCTGTTAACGTTAATAGAATTGTGGAGTTTTCCAAAGTCATCATTAGGAGGAAATGTATTTAGTTGTCTTGTAGACTCGCTGTACAAATCTTGGGAACTATTTTGTTCTGCCAAATTGTCAGGAACAGTAAATGGGTTCGTCTGTTTCGCAGGTTTTTCGTTCAATTTTTGGAAATTCTGAACTTCTCCGGAATCTTCAAATTCTATTAAATTTACATCCTTTTTAAGATTCTTATTGCTCTCGTTAAAATTGAATGTGTTGGGCAATTTTACAATATCATCATATTCCGAGGGGTTCATTCCCCTTCCTCTTTTTTCATCCTTCAGCGATGAATTTAATCCTTTTTGGAAGTTCTCTTCCTGTACTAGCGCATTAAACCTTTTTGCAAAGTTCAAATTATCATCATTGTCCTCCTGTCCGTCTTCTATTAATCCTATCAACTTCTCTTTAAGGAAGGCATTTCTCTGTTCTGCAATTACTTCTTCATCTTCCTCTAATACCCTACCAGCTGTTGCAGCTGATAAGTTGTTCTTTCCCTGTTTTTCAATCCATGATTTACCGATGGCAGATGACTAAGAACTGAGGGCAAAATGAGTTAATGTATTAAAAAGTAGGTTTATTTACATATTCGGAGAATTTTCAATTCAGAACAAAAATGCGCAAGAATTGGAATATATATACTGAAAGGAGGGGAAAGAAGGAAGTATAAAATATTATGCGCGAATCGGCATTATACCTCATTAGAATACTGGCATAGCCACACCAAAAGGGAAACCGCGAAAATTTTAGTCACGGATGAATACTGCGTCTTTTCCTTTATGTAACCCTCTTATATGTTTCTAAGACATTTCCAATATTACAGTTTTCTTATACATTATCAGATTTATAGTAAATTTCTGTGCTCATTTTTATAGATTTACCATATTCTCGGCAATATAATAAAAAAGAAATAAACATTTCAATTTTCCTAAATTATGCATAAAAATATATATAAGAGAATATATAGTAAAAAAAGCAAATGGCTGAATTAATTAAAAATATTCTAGTAAACATTTTATTATGTACCAATAGCAGGAAGGATAGAAAAAAAAAAATAAAAAATATATATACAAATAAATACTAACAGGGTTGGAGACACCAACGTGAGACTAGCCCAATTACGACGGGCTGTGGTACACAGGTGGGTCTCGGCCCCTGTGCTGCGTCACATCGGTAGTGGTTTCCTTCTTTTTTCTCTTCCTCCCCTTGAGTCGCCGTTTTTTTTCTCTTCTTGCTAACAGGGAGGGCAATTCTCAATGATCTTCCGGAGCTTGGGGACGAGGGAGGACGACCCAATGCGGAAGTTGTTCGGGTGGCAAGCCAAAGCGCTGAAGACATTCCTCGCCAGGAGAATGTAGTAGCTGGCCAGGCTAAGGTCCTTTATGCTCCCGGAAATCTTGAGTCCAATTTTGTCCTTTTTCTCCGGATTCTCCTCCAAGTGCAGTTTCATTGCCTTGATTATCGATTTGACTGAACTGGGCGTCACATTGACCTGTGCCTTCCCCGTAGACGTCTTCACAAAGTCCGCATTTCCCTTCAGCACAGCTAACGTCGTCTGGACGATTAACTCCTCAGATTTCAACACCCCAACTTCGATTATCACTTTGAGTAACTTCTCCTTTAACACCTCCTTAACCTTTTTCGTTAGGAGTGTAGCTTCTTCAACTCCTGCCTTCGGATCTTCAATAATCTTTGTATAGTTAATCACCAGGTCGACTTCATCCACCCCGTCGCTAACTGCTTTGCGAGTAACTTCCAACACTTTCTCCATGGGATCGTTCCCCCCTGGGAAGTTTATAACGCAGGCGATCTTCGGTTTGAAGGGCACGATTTCTTTTTTTATCTGTTCGTTTATGAATTTTACAAAATGGGGGTGCACGCAAACGGCTGCTGCGAAGGGACAGGTTTTGACTGCCTCTTGGCACAGCGCCCTCACGTCCTCCTCAGTGTCATTATCACCCAGGAGGGTGTGGTCTGTCAAACATATGGCCGTCCACGCGGCGAAAGTTTCTGCGTAGTTCGCCATTCGCGCGGAGAAGAAGCAGCAGGGGGGAGGTCAAGCGGAACAGTGAACAGGCGGGTCACACTCTGAACAAATAGGCGGCACACTGAAAAACCAAATGGCTAGTCCGTCTGATTGAGAAGGTGAGCAGCGGAAAAGTGAATAGGTGAAGAAGCGGCTACTTCCGTCTTTACCGTGCTTCGGAAAATTGAACCTCCCAATGGGAAGTGGGCTAGTAACTTGGGGTTATTCCTGAAGAAGTTCTCCTGTGTAGGCGACGTGTGCGCCTCTTTTAGCGTTTCCCTTGATGAGGCACAAGCTTCTCTGAAGCACTCGGGTGGGAGGCTACATAGGAGTGACTCATTTGTTGTGATAAAAAAAAAAAAAAAGAAAGAGATTACTCCGTTGTGCAAATGGATTGATGCGAAGTGCTTTCGCAACGTGCAGTGGGAAAACGTGGGGGAAATTTAAGTTTGTGCAAAAATAGGGATGGCTTTCCGGAGTCTACACGGAGAAGAAGCAATTCGTTCAACGCGACGTGATCGATTATTCTTCTGAATTGCACCTTAACTTAAACTTAAATCTAAACGTAGCTTTGGCTTTAGATTCAACTGGGACTCGCGTATGAGTGGGAAATTTTTTTTTGGCCGATTTGGAACTATGACTTCCACTAAACAGGGGAAAAAAAGGATCGTCCGCCCGTCGCCTCCGCGCTGAGGGGGCACTAGAGCGTACGTACAAAAGACGCGTGCAATAGAAAAAAAAAGAACAACTGGCGGGGGGAAATTACGCGAAGGTTTCTGCTTCGACAGAACAGACTTGGGGTGGGGAAAACAAAAAGAATAAAAAAAAATACAAATGACCTAAAGAAGCGTACCCCATTTGGCTCAAAAAATTCTGCCTCTTTGAATGAAGTGTAAAAGGAGACTTAAACTCCCATGTACGGGACATATAAGAAGCAGGACGAAAGTTTTCCCGTTTAATGGGTAGGCGCAGCATATTATGTTGGGGGGCCTCTTGCACGGGCGCCACGCCGCGTTGCAGAGAGGGCCAAACATACGCGCCAGAAAAAAGAAAAAAAAAAACAATTTTCAAATTTAAAATTTGGAGTTGTAATTTGTTGGCGCCAATCTTTTCGTTTTAACTTCTCCTTTTTCTTTTACGGTTTACGCGTTTACTTTTATTGTTTTCGTGGGCGATCCAGGCTTTGGGGGGCCAGGAGTGGCGCAACGGAGAATAAAATAACTCCGCTTGATGCACGCAGGGAGTAGGGCTGCTCTAGGACTCTCCACAATTGCATGGTTGCCCCCCCTTACATTATCAAGCCCAACATGGAGGTAGCCAAACAACTAACCTACGGACTTAATTTAAAACGATGCTTAAAGAATGAGGACTTGTTGAGTTTGAAGAGGCAGAACCTGAAGCCGCTAAAAAATATTTTCAACATAACCAAGGGGAAGGATGAGAGGAACGAAAAGAATGAGACAGAGGAGGGAGGAAAGCAACCAAAGGAAACAGACAGGAAGGAAAAGCATGAGAGAACAGGGGAGTTGATGAGTTTTTCCGAATTCTGTGCAGACCCCAATTTAGTAGGAAGCTATATGAAGGGTAATAAAATAAACGTCGAGTTTGTCAACTTAAGTGGTAGCGTGGTTCCCATCCGTTTCTTCGAGGACATTTCAGAGGAGGCAAGTGCAGAAGACATCAAGGTAAGCGGCATACCTCTCGGATCAGTGGAAGAGAAAATCAGCGAGGGAGGCCCCCCCCATGTTGAGAAGAGAACTCATCTCGAAAGGACCATCCTTCCAAGGAGTGACTACCAAAAGTTGATTATCACAATTAAAGACACCTTTGCATTTAAGAACCCAACGAACATTCAGCAGATTTGCATCCCCACGATTATGAGGGGGTGGAACACCATCTGCATTTCTCAGACGGGCAGTGGGAAGACCTGCGCCTTTTTGATTCCCCTCCTGGTTCGGCTAGTCTGTTCAAGTAGAGAAGAAGAGGGGAAGCAGCAGAAGGGGGAGAAGCAAAAGGAGGAGAATAAGCAAAAGGGTTTACATTTCCCTCCGGAGAAGGACAACAACCATGAATCAGACGTGGAAGAGAAAAAAAGTTCCACTCCCATTCGAAGCCTAATCATTGTGCCCACTAACGAACTGGCTAGCCAAATACACGAACACGCACTGGTCCTGTTTGAGGCGTTTCCACAGTTTGCGCTTCTACATTTGACGAAGGAAGACCAAGTGACAGAGCAGGAACCCATAGATGTGTGCATCTGCACCCCGTTTATACTGATTCACCTAATTGAAAGGAAAAAAGTCACCTTGTCCAGATGTATGCTCGTCGTCTTTGATGAAGTGGATAAATTATTTGAGGTAAACTTTTTGAATCACGTGAAAAAACTGCTAGTAGTAATTCAGAAACGAAAGATGCAGAAGGTGTTTACCACGGCAACGCTACCAGGTAGCACCCGCTCCTTCATCAGCACCCTCTGTCCCACTTACGCACTGGTGTACTCTGGCCAAAGTATTAACTCAGTTAATAGGAATGTGAAGCAGGAGTTGCTTTATGTGAACAGCGAGGATGAAAAAAGTTTGGTGTTGCGGAACTTGGTTGTGGGTGGCGGGCTGCACATCCCCATCCTGGTATTCGTGAACGGCGTGGAGAAGGCGAAAAAGGTGCACGCCACGCTAAGTCGCGCGGTGAGCGGGGTTAGCAGCGTTGGCAAGGTTGGCAGCCTTGGAGAGCCTGGAGGCGTTAGCGCTATGAGGGGAGGTGTAAAGCCGCCACACGTCGCCCTGTTGACGTCCGAAAGAACCAAAGAGGAAAGGATGCAGGTTTTTAAGCAGCTGAGAGAAGGACACGTGTGGTACCTAGTGTGTACAGACGTTTTGAGTAGAGGAATCGACGTTCCTGGCATCGAAACAGTAATTAACTATGACGTCTGTTATGACAAGTACAGTTACATCCACCGGGTGGGACGGGCGTGCCGCTCAGAGGCGGAGGGAGGAAAGGCCATCACCTTTTTTATGCAACAGGATGTTAGATACATGAAGGACATCGTCAAGTTCGTCAAGAGCAGTGGAACGGAGGTGCCTGCCTACCTGCAGAACTTCCCCTTTAAGGAGGTGCGCGGGTTGGGCTTCCACACGAGGGGAAAGAAGAACGACGCTGTGAAAGGGAAGCAGACTGATATGAAAAGGAAGAAAACCCGTGTGAAAGGGAAGAAAACCGGTATGAAGGCAAAAAGATCGGGTTTTAAGGCGCACAAATCGAGTACCAAGAAGGCGTAAGGGGCCCACTCTTTTGGGGATGCTTCTTCTTGAAACGGGTGGTGGTCCTCCGGCAAAAGCGAGTTCGCAACCCCCCTGATTGTCTTTGGCTACGTGTGTGCCTACATTCTATATGCGTCAGCTTGCGCGAACGAGTTCATCTCACATCTGCCCACCCCTCCCCAATTTGGTGTCTTTGTTCATTCCATGTGTCTTTTTTTTTTTTTGTTAATTAGAAATGGGGGTAAATCATTTTGCAAGGTGCCCTTCCTGCTCTTCCCAGTGAAAGTTACCCCTCGATCATGGAACCCCGTTCCGTTTAACATTACATGTTGACGCCGTTTAACATTTGAGACTTTTTTTCCCCCTTTTGTTTGAGTCGTATTAACAATTTTAGGTTATTTTCGGAGATGTCACTCCCTTTTCCGTGCCCTCTAGCGAAGAGAGTCTATCGGGTGTCCCCTTACACTCCTTCGCGGGAAAAACAAGTGGACAAAGTGGGAAGACGGCGGGGTTGTGGAGGGCCGTTTTGATTAGGACAGTTGGGCCATGTTCTCATGTGGATACTCCATTAATTAAGACGTCGTTGAGAAAAAAAAGGGCAGTAGAATTAACAAATTAATGTATACGACATAAATCTAATTTGAATTGAAAAGGTGTCCGAGTGGATTGCATCAAATGGAGGGGTGCCAGCGATGTATGCAGCGATATCTGCGGCGATACGTGCAGCAACATGGGCACCCTCGCTGCTTTGCCGACGTGGATGTGGTTGCTAATTAGTGGATCTTTACACTGCACATAGGCAGCAGAGGTGCACAAAAAAAAAAAAAACAATAAAACGCATGGAACGAATGGTCGCCGGAATCAGGGAGCACCTACGAAAACGTCAGGGTTGTGAATGCCCACGTCGACAATGGAAGCAGCGCGGTAAGGCGAAACGAAGAGAAGCAACGTGAAGTGGAATGTCCTTCTCCCCGTGTACGCTGCCCCTTTGGAAAGGGAAAACCCGAAAGAAATTCACTCCATCAGTTCGTCCATCAGTTCGTCCATCGATCACTCCACCGATCACTCCATCCATCGGTCAACTGATAACGCCTTTTTCCCATCAGTCCACCTTTATCGAGGAGTAGATTTTCCTCAGGAAGACGAAGGATGCCAGGAAGCCCGCCGTGCCCGTGTAAATGAAGCACGTGTAGGACATGATAAACGAGTAGGCGAAGTAAATAAAAGTTTCAGCAAAGCTGGAGATGCTTAGCTTGACGAAGAAGTAATACACTGAGTAGAGGAAGAAGAACAGTCCTGATGACCCCGGTGCCACAAAGGATTTCCACCACCAGTTGTAGTCCTCGCTGCGGGGTGAGTGTGTGTGTGCGTGAATGGGGAGGCAAACTGGCGTGATGATACGACCCGGCCACATAATCCGGTGGGTTACGACGCGGGATTGCGCCGCTTCACGATTTCGCGGCTTCACGCCTGCCCAGTTTCACGCCCGATGGGCCGCCTACCAGGAGAGGGTGTAGTATGTCAGGGCGATGGACAGCTGGGCGCTCAGCAGTCCGAGCAGGAAAATCACCAAGAAGAGGAACCCTGCGGGGGTAAGAAGAAAAAAAGAAGAAAACGAAGAAAAGACGGGTGATGTGTAAGGCATATTCGTGGAGGAATACCCTTGAAAGGTGCACTTGCGCGTGCGCTGGTCTACACTCCGCCGCCTGGCTTACCAAAGAGGTAGTACACGTTGCTTTTCCAGAGGGACGTGAAGAGGAAGAATAGCTCCGTGTACATGGTCCTAAAGGAGGGTCAGTGGAAAAGTGGCCATGTGGTGTAGTGATGTAGCGGTGTATCTGTGTAGCGCCGTATGGCTGTGTCAGTGTTCGGATAAATTTTCCGCGGATGTGCACTTCTGTTTCTGTACGGGGCTTACGCGAAGAGGATGAGGCCCACGAGGAAGCAAGACGCGAAGAAGGAATTGAGGAGGGGCTGCTTCGGAATGTGTCTTGGGATGTTATTCACCCGCACAGGGAGTTCTATCGGATTCTTCTTGTTCCCAATGTAAGATCCCAAACAGATTAGCGGCACAGATATGCCGAACCAAAGGACGCAAACGAAGGTTAATGAGGAAAAGGAGATAGCCGTGTTGGAGTGCTCATAATGAAGGACAAGATTGATCAGGAAGAAAAGGATAAACAAAATGACAGGATAAATGAGGGAGGTCCTAAAGATGGTAAGCTTCACATGTTTACTCTTGAATAGCTTATACAGACGAGATGATGCGTATCCAGAAATGCTACTGATGAAGGTCCAAATGAAGAACATGATTTGTATGTATCTATACCTCTGTCTGTACTTATACACACCGATGAGGAGAATCAGAGCACAAACGAGGATCATAAAGATGATCTGTATTCCCACGCCGACAAAAGCTGAGAGGAAGGTGGAGTTTATAGGCTTCCTAAAGACGTCTCCATGGACTAACTTCCATCCACGATCGTCAATATCGTCTGTCTCAAATATGTTTGTATTCAGTCGGTTATATTTATTGATGTCTTTATGTAGGGCCTTGATAAGGATCGAACTTATGAAGAACCAGAGGAGGATAAACAGGATAATACTATTCAGAATGGAAAACCAGTGAATCATACTTTGGTCGTTGAGATTCCTATAATAGTGTTCTGATCTGTTTTGAAAGGAGTTCTCACTTTGTACATACTTGATGTCATATTTGAATGTCACATACTTGCCTTTCTTCATCAGCATGGTGGCTTGGTTGGACTCGCACCGATCGTCTTGCTCGAAGTCGACACTACAGTGGGTGATGAGCGGTGATGCGCCGTGATGTGCGGTGATACGTGCATGATACGTGGTGATGCCCCCTTCTACGCGGTAAGGGAGAATCCGCAACATCCTCACGCAATCGTTTCACTTGGTCGTTCCTGCGCTGCTATCCCAGCCTACCTCTTGGGCTCCACCTCGAACCCCACGATGTAGTTCTTGTCCGATTGACCCCCGTTGTTGTTGTACAGGATGGTGATTTGGAAGTAGGTGTACAGCAGGTAGTTTTTCTGCGAGGAGGGAGGCGGCACGTTTGTAAAGAGGTAAAGAAGGGAAGAAGTAAGAAAGTAACGGGGGGATGCACCCCATCTTTACTGCTGCACACCACAGCGTAACATGCCTCCTCACAACTGAGCATGCCGCGTTACAGCGCGCCCGACTCGATACGCACATCCTGGATGTAGCCGACGGGGATGCCCGTGTAGTAAGAACCCTTCCGTCGAGGGTCCTGGCGAAAGATATCCAAATTGTCCACTGAATAAATCATATTATAATTGTACAGAATGAGGTGTTTGTATTTATCATAGGCCTTGTCGTCAATGTAGATTGTACAGTAGAAGGCACACTTCGTATCGTTGAGGAATGTCGTCTCCATGGACGCGCTGTGGAGGCTGTCCCCGGAGAGGATTTTAAACAGGTTTGGCGCCTCCTCGGCCGCTATGTTTGCGTTATCCGCGGAGCACAGTGGGAAGGTGAAATAATCCAGGCTTGTCACTGCTCGCCGGCTGGACAGGTTCTTCACGCTGATCGTCACCTTGTCGCCCCGTTTGTAGGTCTGCCGGGATGGAAGTGGGATAGAAGTGAGATGCTTAGTAAGGGCAAAATAGTGGACGGTAGGATGTGGCAAGGGGAAGTGCGATGGTGGTTGTGCTGCTCCTGGTGGGTTGCAGGGGTAGGGCACCACCCAAATAGATCATCTCATCACAGTGGAAGAGCACCACTCTGCCCCAGTGCTACAACTATGATTGTCCCCTCCGCCTCTCCACTCGACTGCTTCCCCACCGTTGGGTTCATCCCGGGTAGGTAGGACGCAACATCTTGGACGCATTGGAGGAATACCACCACCAGGGCGAAAAAAAAAGTCTTGTAAATCATTTTGCCCGTTTGGCGTTATGTGCATGTTATTCGTGCTGCCGGCCATGCCACACCCGCGTCGCGTGCTTAAAGGTGGAGGAAAAGAAAGGTGATCCTCCTTGGCGGTTCTTCAGAGCGGCACTCTCGTGTCACCCCCTCGTAGTTCCCACGTGGCCCGCTTCAGTGGGGGAGACGGCACGATGGGAAGAGAACAAGCACATAGCGCGATGCACAAGCCTGCCGTTGGCATAAAGAAAGTGAAGGATAAACTAAATGGAGATGAAAAAAAATAAGATGCTTCCAGACGGATTTTCGAAATGGATTTTCCAAACGGACATTCCAAGGGGAATTCTCAAAGGGACTTTCCAACCTTCGAAGAATTGTAGGGCCACAGGGCCTCATGCCCTGCAAGTCATCTCTGGAATTGCGACTAGGGGGGGTGCAGAGAGAACAAGATGGAAAAAAAAAGAGAAAAAAAAGGAAAAAAAAAACAAAATATTATATATCTATGTAATACATACACGCTATGCAGTGGAGCACATGGGGTGTTCTCACCTAACACGTTGCGAAGGACCGCTCAACTGGTGCTCTCTAAGCTGAGGGCATCTCTAGTTCGAGTTAAAAAACTCGGTAGCGTGAACCGAAGTAAGCTTTGCACGTGCACATATAAAAAAGTGGAACATGTGAGTACTAACCTTAGTGGTATGAATTATGAAGATTTCTGTAGCCCCTTCTGACGGAGGACGAACCCGGGCTGTACCCATTCAGCACTGTACTTGCGTGCGCATCAGGGTGGAACTTGCCCTTCGCCAAGCACACCTTTTCAGCGAGCGCGTGCAGGTGACGACTCGCTCTCCCGTTAGTGAAGTTGTTCGTCATTGTTGCCACTATACGACTTCGAGTCGGCCCCCCTCTGTTTAGATTAAAAAAAAAAAAAAAAGAAGAAAAGGAAAAGGAAATGAAAGAAAAAGAAGTGACCATAGGTGATGAGAAGTTACTCTACGTTGCGAAAAACTAGAAGTAGCCGCGCCAAGCGTAGTGACGCATGACGAAGCTGTGAGGAAGCAGAACGATGACGCACAGGTGGCGAAACCATCAGGAGAGTTCACCCGCATTTGTATAACTGCTGTGTAAGAGGACCTATAGCTTCATATTAAGTACATATTCCAGGAGGCGCAAGAAGTGGTATTTCTTTTCTCTTCTTTTTTTTTTTTTTTTCGTTTTTTTTTCTTTTCTTTTTTTTTATCTCTCTTTTTTTTTTTTTTCCTCCTCCCCTCCGTGCATACAAAGTAAAATGGTATGCGCCATTCTGTGCATACCTGTGTACATGCAGCTGTGTTGTCAGAGTAGCGACTTTGCGTTGGGGTTATAAAAGGGAGCATCAGGAGGGAGCGTAGGAGGGAGAGTAAGAGTCAAAGTGAGCGACCGACCAGGTGGCAGGGAAAAGACCGATTGGGTCACTACACACCCCAGTGGAGCGACGCTGATAGGCGTGCCTCGCCACACCGCACAAGGAAGGAACGGAATAAAACCAACAAGAAGCAGAACAAGAGGAAGAGAAGCCCATGCTTACACACACTGTGATGTACGTCTGCTTTGTTTCTCGACTGTCCTCTGTTACTTCGTCTTTTGGGGGGAGAGACGAAGCCCGGTGCCAAAACGGATAAACATGAAATAGGTGCCAAGTCAAAAGTTTGTGGCTTGTCGAAAGCGGTTTCAGAATTTTTCCCATTCCAATCGGTGATAAGGCGACTCGAGCCTCCTCCACGGGTCAGGAGGGGGTTGCTCTTCCCGTCTACACTGTATCACCTCTCAGGTTTGTTCATTCCAGCTTTAGTGTCCTCGTTATGATGAGAAGTGCCCGTAGGAGAGGTAGGTCCAATGGGTGGCAGTAACTGCTTCGTCCGCAGAATACCTCGTTGACTAAGTGCTGCGCCCGCTAATTACCTCTCCACTAACCCCCCTTCCAGTAACTCCCCCTCCACCCCCCTAGGGAACCATGAAAGCAGTCACGTTGCTCCTGAAGGCCGCCCTACTCGCAGTGGCCAGCAGCCTGAGGACGCCGGACGTGAGGAGCATGAGCCAAGAAATGATCCCGAGGGAGAATCAAAGGTATATCTTCATTGAAAGAAAAAGAAAAGGAAGACGAGTCTACACAAATATAAACTTCTACAACATTGATAAGAATGTAAAAAATGAGATCATAAAAAAGAAGGATTTTAACTATAACGAGACGATAGCAGATAAACTGAGGAAGTTGAAGAAGCTGAAAAATGTATTGAACCAGTACTCCTTACGGATTGACAAAGAGGAATTGGAGGAACTAAGACAGAGGACGAAAGATCTGGTGAAGACGAAGTTCGATTTCGCGAGAAGTTATTATGTAAATGTATATAACAAATTGAAGGAGGATTCTGGAGTAGTTTTGGATCAGTTAAAACATGGCTATAACGTCTGCTATGATTATCTTGGGAATAGCTCCTTGAGCAATGCTTTGCAGCATTTCCGTCAGAACTTACCTTTTCTGAGCAAGTCCAGTTGTGTGCCCAAGATGGTTAATTACAATTCAGTTAATTTGCTCTTCATCCTTTTTACCTTCATTTATTTTAAGAGCGATTTAATTTATAGCCTTTTTAAAAAGAAATATGCATTTATTGGAGAGTTCAGAAATGTGAAGACGGACCGACTTGTGAAGATGCACACGCTGTCCACTTTGGGTTTTTTTTTTTATAAGTTCTTCGTGTTGCGGTTGTTCTTTGTTTTAAATTCCTACAGCTTTCTTTCTCGAAAATTGTCCATTCTGAACAACCTGGTGCACGTCCTCTTTTTTTCCTTTTTGTCCGTCTACCCCTACTTCCTCGTGCAGGCCAACTGGGGCAGCTTCCACTTGCTCGACTCGCGCAGAAGTAGGTCACCGGCGGCCGCATCGATGCAGCCACACGGCTAGTGCACTTCACCGCCAATCCACTTCACCGCCAATCCACTTCACCGCCAATCCACTTCACCGCCAATCCACTTCACCGCCAATCCACATCACCGCTAATCCCATTCACTGCTACTTTCTGCACTTCCCTCACGCAGGCAGAATCCTCGGAGGCGTTGTGCTAGCGCAGCTGCTCCTCATCTACACGCGACTAATGTGCCAGAGCAACTGGACCTTCCTCAAGAAGTGGACAGACGAGCAGTTCTTTAACAGGCACGAAGTCATGAGGGCGCTCAAGGAGGACCAGAAGACTGACTTCTACGTCAACCTCCTCAACCAGTACAGCTTTCTCAAGAGGCTCTATCTGGGAAACAACAAGTTGTACGAGTTCCTGCTACACCTACACAAATACAAGTACCTCCTCGATGTCATTTCCCCCATCAATTCGTTGTTCTACATTTACATCGCGCACTCGGCCTACTACTACCTCAACAATTTGTCCTTCGCTGGCATTTACATTTCTTCCTTTTCGCTGGCGCTCTTCCTGCTGAACGTTTTATCGAACAAAATCGACATGTACTTCTTGACCCGCGCGTAGGATGCCCTCGGAACGGACACATACAGAAGGGCACATTTTTACACATTCGCACACTCACCCACGTGCGCGTTTATGGGGAAACACCCATTTTTCTAATTCGGGGAACCCCTGGGAGGTGCCAACGGAGACCCGCATGTGTCTGTTATTTCTTTTTTTTTCTTTTCTTTTTCCTTCACCCGGGTGGCCATGCCTCGTTTGTTGAACCTTTGGGCAGTTCACTTCACCGCCCCTTCTTTTTTTTTTTTTTTTGTTCTCCGCCTAAATGTTCCTTTTTTCTATCAATATTGGCGAACAAGGTGGCGAAAGAAAATAAAAGAAGAAAACCTCCCAATTTGCGATTACAAACCCGCGTTGGTCCCGCTCCCCAGCTGCTGCAAGGAGTGCCATGTATGTGTATAACATGCACATATCTGTATATACGTAACCCCCTTTTTTGCAAAGGTGTCAAGCGACGTTATGCCAGTTATGTGTGGAACATTCGAGGCGATGTTCACTCACCGATTGTGCAGTGGGTATCCCTTTTTAGAGAAAAAAAGAAAAAAAAAAGAACAATCGGTGGTATCTCCCATTTGATGCTTAACGTGCCTTGGCCGGTTATTACCCACTTTGTGAAGGGGAAGTGGCGAGGTGTATACCTCTGCGGGTGTCTTGTTCCTTTTTTTTTTTTTTTTTTTTTATTTATAACATTATTTGTCACAGAATTTACACCTTCCCTGTGCATATTATTTTTTTTTTTTTTACCTAATTAGCTTGATTTCTGCTGCCCCCTTTTACCTTGCCAGTTCATAATTTTTTTTTTCTCTCTCAAAATTGTCATTTTGTTTCTGTGTTACCTTGGCTGTTCATGCTTTTTTGGCCAACCGTTGAGGTGTTTTTTTTCCGCACTTTACGCATTTACCCCCTCATAACTGAATCTTCCCGTGCACTTCTTTCGCCTTGGGGAAAGTCGGGCAAAAGAGAGTGTGGTGTATGCCGTCCCGCGCGAAACGAGCCAAATGAGCCTAAACTTCAGCGACGATGATGAGATGTACACCCAGGATGGGACGAAAAATGGCGAGGGAGATGACTTAAATTCAGGAGCAGGAGACGACCCCATGGGGCTCGTGGGGGAAGACTACACGGTTGACGCGCCAGAGGACTACATGCGAGACGAAGCGGATGATCCCGCTGGGGAAGAGCGTAACGAACAGGAGGAAAAGAAGAAACGGAAAAAAAGCATTGCGTTTCAACTGAAAAACATTTTTAACGATGTAGCGTTGAATAAGATCACTAGCTACATTACGAAGAAGCGGAAGAGTGAGAAGAGAAACAGCTACACAGGCAAGTGGAACGACTCGAATGGAGGTAATAGCCAGGGCAGTAGGCGTGGGGAAGGCGGCAGTGATGATCATAGTATGGCCGATGCGATGGGGGATGAAATGGGCGATGAGGAAGACGAGCTGCAAAGGTACCTTCGGGAGGAAAAAAACAAAATGAAGCAAATACTCCCAGAAAATGACGAATTGTGGGACATATATATGTACTTAAATTTAAAAAAAAAAAAAAGAAAAATTGACTACAGCGAGAAGCACTACAGCGCAGCAATTCGGAAGATACTACAGTGTGTGACGAATGACTACAAAGCTGTTGTTATTGCAAAGTTGTTCGAAAATCAAGTGCTCAAAAAGTACTTAATTATCCCTGACCAGTCCGATTTTTTTAAAAACAGCAAAATTGAATATATCGGGAGGAATACCTCTGTCCCCATTATAAACAGGAAGAATTCACTTCTGGCAATAAAGAGAAAGCTAGTAGAATTGTACGTAAAGGGAACCTGTTGCAGTTACACGAAGGACGAGGAGTTGTGTCGCTTGTACGGGGAGGACAACGAGGATGCTGAGGATTTGTCTGACCATCAGGTAGAGTCAACTGGGAAGGAGTCCAATCGGGGGGAATCCAATCCGCGGAAGTCGAATAAACAGAGTAACCTCCACCAGGCGGAAAAAGACACCAACTTTGTAATCGAGAAGGAAAAAATAAATCTCGAGTTAACCAAGCTGACGGAGAAGTACACCCGAATGGTACATAAGATAAAACAGCATCGTAGGAAAAATTTAAAAACAAGCTTCAACCTTTTTATGCACTTAATAAATGAAGTCATGTCGAAGTTATACTTCCCCGTCAATAATGTTTTACTTATGGGGGACAACAATACGGACTTGACAGATATTTACAAAACGGTTCGGCGTAAATACAACATACATGATGTGCTCACAAAGGTGCAAAATCTAAGTCAGAAGAAGGAGGTCTATGAACATTACAGGGCGTACTTGATTTATAAGTATAAGACCACTTACTCTGTTTGTGACGAGGTCTTTAAGACGCACCAAATGGGAGACAACATCAACATGTTCAATTTTAAAAGTTTTTACAACACGGACTTTGGGGCGGATAAGTTTTCCGTCATCCGGACAGCAGAAGGGAACGAACAGGAGGAGGGAACAGACGGAGCCGAAAGGGCGGAACGTGCAGATGGCTCGGATGGAGGGGAAACTTCCCCCCGTGACGATGCGGCGCGCAAGGCCGAGCAGGGTGCGCCCGGGGACCTTCTCGCGGGTGACGTGTATGACATGTACGACGCGGAGGACTTCTTCCAGGTGAATGTGGGCCCTGATGCGGGAGCAGCGCAGGAAGCTGGAAACATGGCAAAAGGCGCCGCAGTAAACTCAGCTGCGGAGGAAAATTCCTCCAGTGTGCAAGCCGAGGCCCCAGATATCGCCGCCGTGAAGGCTGCCCCCGCCGAGGAGACGCCCCTGGAGCGGGCCAAGCGAATCGCCCGCGAGAAGAAGCAGAAGCTGATGGAAAGCAGAATTAAGATTATATGATCTCTGTCCTGTGGTGAGTGTGCCCATCCCTTGCAGTTTTGCGACCCCAACAACGGTTGCCGCTTCTACCACTGCACAGCCTTTTATGGCCTTCACTGTTTTTCTCCTTTTTTTTTATTCTACTTTTTTGCGTTACTTGTTTATTTATTTTATTCATTATTATTATTTATTTATTTTTCTTTCTTATTTTATTTATTCTTTCTTTCCTGGATCTCTCCACCCCCCCTCTCACGGAGAACAAACCACTTAACTGCACAGTTTGTTTTTGGTGTGTTCCCCTGTCCCAAACGACTTGACCTCCAAAAAATTCTGCTCCCTAAGTTAGAATTGCCTCGTGTGTGTGCCCGCATAGACATGCCCTCGATTGCATTGCAGCGGCTTTCACGTGGAAGAAAAGAGAAAAATTATACTCCCGCGTCGGGGTGCATAGTTACACATATAGGGACGACTCTCCCCCGCCTCTTTGGGATTAATTGCTTCCCAAGGGTGCCATTTTTACATGAGAAAAGGGTGGTCGGTGAAGTTATCATTTGAAAGGAAACCCCAGTGGGCACTTACCCCCCTTGGGGTGGGCAAGATGGTGGAACACAATTGGTGCTGGAAATTATCACAGAGTGTTCTTCCGTCTTCGAAATCCATCCTTATAGCGGAGGAGAGGACTCACCCTGTTGGGTTGTGCACAAAGAAAAATGGTTGTGGTCTATGTGCCTCTTTTTTTTTTTTTTTTTTTTAAACTTGCAGAAGCTGCTGTCCCATGTTGTGGTGTTGGCTGACTCGCCTACAGTTTGATTTTCAAAAGAGTGCACATTCTGATAGCAGAACGGCGGGAGGCCCAGTTGTTCGGTGCGCGGTTTTAATTCATAACAGAATAAATTGGCATCCCACAAGGACAAGCTAATCATAATCATGTGCATAGATGGAGGCACGTGCTGTATGTCCAATTGTTTCTTTTCTGCAGGCGCTTTTCTTCAAGAAGTATTCTGGCTTGGCGCGACTTCACTAGTCGAGGTGCGAGGGGACTACACCCTGGCAAGCGAAGAAAGAAAATCCACGGGGTTCGCTTAGCAGGAATTTACCCATTAGGAGAAAGGATGCGCGCGCCGAATAGTCCCGTAAAACAAGCGGAGCATTACAACGTGTATGCACCCACGAGCATTTGCAGGATGCATGCAGGGGCGCATGAGCTTACGCTCTCTGTTTTTTGAAGAGAAGGTATTTCCCCTCTTTCCCTTCTCTGCCACGCCAACCGGCCCGCTGGAGGCGATAGAACGGCAGGTCAGTAGTAGAGAGCCGTCCCGGTGAGAGAGAAAAAAAAAGGAAGTATTTTAAAGGGGGAAGCGGGCTCATCGTTCGTCCATCCGAGGAAACGAGTCTGTAAAGCAGAGAGTGCACACAGGAGGGAGAGGTCGCGTTGGCAAAATGCTTACTCCTTATGATTAAGCAAAAGGCTTCTGCTTCTGCTTTGTACCGCGAAGGTATGCGCGTCGTGCACTTGAGAACACGACAGCGGCGGATGGTAAACTTTCCCACGACGATTTTCGTTAATTGAGAGAGGCGCCCTACTCGCGCGGAGGGAGCTGCATTGCATGCCTTGTACATGGTGTGGCCGAAATTGGCTACTTGGGGACATACTGCCTAGAGCAGACGGGGAGACGTTGCCCTTTTTATTTTTTTACTCCACTTTTTTACTTCATTTTTGTACTCTATTTTTTTGTTTTATTTTTTTCTTTTTACGCTGTTAAGATACAAATAAGAAGATAGGGGGAGGGAAGGACATACAGGAACAGCATACGGCGAAGTGGCTGCGGGATGGTTGCTTCTTCCGCGTGGGCAAAGATTTCCCTGCTCCAGGAGTGCACCCTTATTTCTGCCTGACTTGTTCACATATTTTCTTTTCCTCCTTTGCATCAGTTTTACCTCTGAAGAGGAGCTACCAGGAAGGGGGCGCGAAACCGCACGAGGGAGTGAGCACACCGCTGCTATCGCCGTTATCACCGCTATCCCCGCTATAACACGATGGAAGCTGCGGGGAGCATCCTGGAGAAGAGCAAACAGCTGAGCGAAATTTTGATTAAGTCCTTCAAGAATGAAGTAGGGAGCGTGACTTACCTAAACGAGTGCAGAAATAAAGACTGCTCGGAATTTTACAGCGCCTTCTATCTGGTATATTCAGACCTGATTGAGAAGGACAAGACGTTAAGCCTCTTCAAAGACCATCTGGTGTTCCTCTCCTTCTGTTACATGAACAGGTTGTTGGCAAACCACTACCATGTGTACCCACAGGAGAGTAAAGTTAGCATCAGAAACAGCTTTATTAATATTCTCTTTTCTCTGCCCCTAAACTTTAATCATGAGCTGGATGGGAACACACTACACATGAAGGAGAAGTCAGTAGAAGCGGTGAAGAAGAGATTCTCTTATGTTTTTCTGAACCCGAGTAACTTACTCATGGGCGACTACTTCAGTGAGAGGGACAATTACTTGATCCGATTTTATATTCATTCCACGAAGAATAAGTTTGCCCAGATTTTTAGCATCCTCTGTCTGCACAATGAGTACTTTTACTTTAGGTATCTGTACAACTTTTTTGTCTTCTTCGTGAGGGAGTTTCTGACTCGAAGGCTGTCTTCGCCCGGGGGGGGGAGCAGTGGAAGCGGCGGTGGGATCATCGGTGGCCGCGATGGCACCGATGGTGGATACTTCTCCACCGTGGTGCACATCTGCCTGAACTTCATGAGGGAGGTATTCTACACCATCAGCAACGAGAGAAGCAGCAATGTGCAGAACAAGCAGCAGATAAACGTTCTCAGGGGACTGATAATAAACGAGGCGAACGAGTTGTTTGAGTTTCTTTCCATTTGCTTTTATGACAGCCTGAGCTGTAGGAAGAGCGGACAATTCCAATTGCTCATCGAATGTGTGAAGGAGCTGTCCTTCTTCTTCCCCGCGCATTTGTTCTTTAACCAACGGGGGGGCAGCAACTCCCCGCTGAAGTTTCTGTTGAACTTGCTGTTTCTGCGGTTCGCGGGGGGGGGAAGCGGAGTGGGGAATGCTGTGGCAGGCCGCACTGAAGCACCGGACGATGACCATCCCCTGCCTCTGAACGACTTCACTGTGTTGTACAATAGCTACCTCTCCGTGAGAGAACTCAGCTGTGTGCCTCCCAGCGTGCACTCCTTCCTGGCAAAACTGGACCTGGAAGAACATCTCCTCCTCATCTTTCTCAACATTATTGAGTATATCTCGAAGATAAATAGTAAGACCTTTATCCAGTTAGATGAAAGCCAATTGATGCAATTTCTTGAAAGCTACTTTAACATAAACCTTAACATATTCGATGTAACGAGCTACTCCTATCAGAATGTCTACATACGAATGATCCTGAAACTGTCCTCTATTCCCATTTCAAATTATCTCCACGAGAAGGAGAACAAGCAAAAATGCCTGCACATGTACATAATTAATGTCTTCAAAAATGTATATCACCCGGATGTGAACATTCTAGCCAACGTACTGACTATTTGCAAGAATGTATTCGATCACAATAGAGAGCTCATCTACATTAAGAACAGAGAAAGTGAATTAGCTAGCCAACCATATAACATACGAAAGGTTGACAGAGAAAGTATGTTGGATCAAAGCAATGAGAAGATGTTCCATCATGGCACACAGTTTGTTCTAAATAAGGAAGACCTGAAGAAACTCTTCCTCTTCATGTTCGTCCGTTTTATGAAGATACCTTTGTACTCACCTCAGAACGGGTTGAACAAGAAGATGATGATAAATTTTTTTAGCAACTTTATTAATGAATACAATGAGGAGTGGTTTGAGACGTACTTCCGATACATGAGAGAGGACACTATGGGGGGAGATGAAACGGAGGAGGCTAACGTCACTACTTCGAAAGAAGGTGGACGAAGTGATAAGACGAAGAATCAGCTGAAGCAAAAGATTCTGGCCCTGTTTCGCGTCCTGGTGGGACTGAACCACGAGGTCTTCTCCATCATGGTGGAGGTGTTTTGTGATTTTTTCCGATTTTTCAAAAACATTACCGCGGAGAATTTGTGCAGTGAATCGATGAAAGTGAAGGACTACTTCGTGTATGTGCTGCTCCGTGTGTACTGTGATTTGCTGGTTTTTTTTCTTAACACACTGAGGGAGTGCAAAGCGGTGGTAACTGGTGGAGATATGGAGGTGAACGAGGAGGTCATCTCATTTCAGCTCCTCCCCCCTGGAGAGAAGGAGGCCTACTTCCAACGAATTATACACTTGAGGGATTCCCTCTCGAACAACATCATCAGGGGAAGTGGCTCAGAAGCGAGAGAGATGAAGAGGAAAATGCAGCAGGTGGTGAGTTCGAAGGGAGTAGACACGAACTGGGAGGGCTCCAATTCGGGAGAAGACATCATAGAGGAGTTAAAAAAGCGAAAGGAGAAAGTGGACCTGCAGATACATATAATAAATTGCATTCAGAAGTATGGGGGGTCTCCATACTACGAAATTAGCCCAGACTGCATTAACAATTTGTTGAGTTGCTATAAGGAGATTCTGAATGGAGACTTCACTGACATGTGCAAAGTGTCGCCCAGCTTCCTCCTCTTCGAGGTGAAGAGGCTGCAATTCCTCTCCGAGAGCACCTACCTGCTGCACTATAATAAGCAGATCGCCTTATACATGATGGAGAATCTGCTGCGGAATATCGTTCAAGAAGAAGGCACACAAGTGACCACCTCCACAGGGGACGTAGCCGGGCCGGCCGACCCCAACACCTCCGTGGAGCTAAAGAAAAACTACTTTGCCATCTTCACCTCAATCATCTCGAATTTGAAGCAACTAGTGACGAACGATATGTTGGAGAAGATGCTGAATACGTTTTTCGAGTTTAAGAAAAACAGCAGTGCATTCAAGTGTAACAAAGAGCTTTGCGTCTTCCTACTGACCCTCATATCTGTCTTAAAAGTGGACGATTTGAGTGGCAAGGAGATAACTTCCTACTTGAGGATGGTCATGGAGGAACTATTCGTGTTCCTCGGCGATGTTACTAAAACTGGGCAATCTTTTGAGAGCCTTTACGAGTTTCTCTTCGGGGACGAGAGGAAGCTCCAGATCGGCCATACGCTTTTCGAAGTGCTGAAGGTTGCGCAGACGTACTTTTGCGTGTTTTCGCTCCCCAAGGTGGAGTCGCGTCTTCGACGAGTTAGCGGCGTTGGTGGGGATGGCGGCGTTGACCGAGTTAGCGACGTGGATGGGAATGCCAGGGCCATCCAAGAGAACGTTCGACTTCTTTCGAATAATCCCTTCCTGCAGATCAGCATGGAGCTATTCACGAGGGTGATGTTTGTGTACCCTGGGCTGAACGAGATGCTGAGGAGCTGCCCGTCATTCGAGAAACACCCCATGCTTTGCGCGGAGGTGAGTTACTTCCACCTGAGCGTGAGGGAGCGCGAGATGGCAAGTTTGTGCCAGCAGAGGGGGAGAAGCAGGGTTAGTGACATTGGCCTGGTTCGAGGCATGAGCAGCAGTAGGGGGGCACCCCACACAAAAGAAAGCTGCAAGAAGTTCAGCCTGACGATGAAGTCGCTGCACGAAAACGTGTGCACCGTTGTGAAGCGGTTCATCATCGAGGGGTATCTCTTTCTCTATAATGACACCGGGAAGCTGTTCCTGGAAGTGCTCTCCCCCGCATTTGAATACGGCCCCTACCACTTCATGGCCCAGAACGTGCAGCAGGTGTACCTATGTCTCAGCGAGAAGCTAAAGCAGCAAATTGGAGAGCGAGGCCTAAAAGAGTTAGCGGCGAATTGGTGCGAACAGATCTTTGCACAATTTGTATCGAAGCAGTGCAACTATCTGAAGGCTAACCTGGAACACATCCAGATGGTTAATGAGCAGCTCAACGGACAAGTGGAGATACGAGAAGAGGAATACGTCATGTATGGAGACCTATTGTATCATACCAAACAGTACATCTTTACTTTTTTAAAAACATGCAGAAATGTCTATACCGTTCCAAACGAATTTAAGAATAATCGAGACGATATATCCTTCTTCTGTCGTTTTTATCGGGACGACAAGAATGAGACATTAAACACGTTACTTCTAACGTTAGAGTTACTTCTTCACAGTTACGACTGTAACATTGTCAAGCGGTCCTTAAATTTCTTTGTCGATATATCCGAATCGATTATGTTGCTCCCTTTTGAGTCTTCTCACTTTTTGATTTACCTCGGGATGTTGAAAATTGTTCTGCGATCCTTCCTCCTGTTCAAGCCGCCAATATTGACTCTCCAGCAGAAGGGGAAGAATGATGGAGGGCAGGTCCTTAATAATGCCAATTTGTTGAAGCGGTACGAAGAGCATACTGCTGGGGGGCGAGGAGGGGATGCTTCCCATTGGGGGGACCTTTATAATGACTCCGTCGAAGTGTACACTGGAGACATGAACCTCTTTGTGAAGAATGACTCGCAAGAATTAACTTCTTACCTACATGTGATGCCGTCTACGTTTATTAAAATCTGCAAGAGTTACTTCTCCCTGCAAGCGAAGGTGTATAGACTGAAGGAGAGTGGTGGCACTTCCTTAGAGGAGTTGCTCCAGCTGGACAGTGTGAAGCACTTTCTTTTCCTCTTCAATGACGTGGAGGGCTCGTCCTCGTTCGACTTCCGCACCATCGTCGCGGATTTGTTCCAACAGAACGGTTGTGACTACTTGAGGGACGCGCTCGTGCAGTGCCGCCTCGGAACCCAGCGGTGACGGGTGAGCGGTTAGCGATTAGCGGTGTGTCATGAGCAGTTAGTGGTGAGCCGACTCTACGAAACCCTAGTCAACATTACCGGGCCACTCGCCGCTCCTTCATAGCAGCTCTCCATTCCGTTCCGCTACTCGCCGCCGCTCGCATGCCCACATTTTTGCAGCGCCTCATTTGCCAATTCGCGACGGCGTTGCTAAGCAGCCTCCGCCATCATGTGTACACGTGCCCTTCACTCCGCCCCACGCGGGCATATTGGCACGAATAAACATGTATCGCTTTTTAATTAACAAAAGAAGTTAACACCAAAATTGCAGAGGTTTGGAAAATGTGGCATAAGAAAAAAAAAGAAAGGAAAGAAAAATTCCGTTCCTTTGGGCAAGTTCCACGTGGTATGCCCTACACCAGAGTGGAGTAAATTTTTTTTTTTTCTTCTGTTTTTTTTCTCTTTTTTTTTGTTCTTGTTCTTCTGCCCATTCTGGCGTTGGCGAAAAGGTGTGCACCCTGTTAGCCCTGTACGTAAGAATAGGAGGCCCCCACGCATCGTAATTACAACGATGCTTGTCACTGCTCGCGGCGAACAAAGCAAACTTCTCCTCTCGGCTGAATTACCATGTGTGCAAAGACCTCTGTGCCCACCCCCCGTTTGAACGAATGTTACGGAGCCACAAATGTGAAGCCTCGAAGATGCCCTCGCCGCGGCGAGCTGTACGTCAGCTCCTGTGGTTGCTCTTACCTTTTGTGTTGACAGTGAAGGCGCCCTGCGTTCGCAGCTTCACGTTACAGAGGGGTTTCCAATTTTCAGTTCACCCCTGGGGAGGTAGGAAAAACGTCCCAGACCCTAGGGTTGCCAGGGCCTTCCAGAGACGGATCAGCGCTTTGAATTCCACGGAGGAACTCGATGATTATAAATACTTCACGGATGAGTAAGTCCCTGCGGGCGAAGTGGTTCTGTTGTGGCGCGGAGGAAGGAGAGGCCGCCATGACGAAGGCGCCATAGCGACGCTCTGTCTCCACGTAGTAGCTTTCTCTCCATTTCGTAGCTTCATCACCGCTTTGGCACTGCTTCGCCTCTTTACCATTGCTTCCCCGCAGCTACATCCCGCCGCTGCCCCCCGTGGAGACGTGGGAGGAGCTCCTGATGAAGGAGGAGATTAGAAACAAGGAGGAAGACGAGCATCGAAGCGCGGACGACTACACGCTCACGCACGAGAGCAGGCAAAAGGTGCTAGAAATCATGCGACAAACGCGGCTGATCAACCACTGCAACTATGAGGCCCAGAAGAACAAACAGAAGAACGTTCTGTACTTCGTGACGCCCAAGCTGGGTTAGCCCATTTAGCGAACAGGGCCTACTTGGTCTACGGGGCGAGGTTTGCCAGATCCTCTGCGGCTCTGGTCGTGCACACTGGGGCTGGCACCATCAGCAGGAACACATCACTTCGATCGTGTGACAGCATCGGTTGCTTACCACAGATTGTTCATCGCCGCTTCCTCACCACCGCAGGCCCCTACTGCAAACTGATGGAGGGAGACAAGGACAAAATGGAGAGTCTAACTAACAAGGTAAAGGAGAAGTTTGAAAACAAAGTGCAGATAGTGAATCTCAAGTTGGACGTCAAGATGCCTTTGTTTGAAATCTTCCTACAAGCCAATATACATACCCAGATAAAGATTTTCCACGCCAGGGGGAGGACATTACAGTACAGATTGCCACCCCCTTTTTGGACTAAGTGTAAAATACTAAAGGAGAACAAAATGCTGCAGGAGAAGTACGGAGGAGAGTGTGCCCCAGGTTTGTTTCCCCGTTACGATGAGGACATGATGATGGAAATTATGACCGAATGTGTTTTTAACGACAAATACAACTTCTATGTGTACGATGTGAACCTGGAATGGGAGAACCTCTGTGCACTTACTCCGGAGAACAAAGAGCTTCGGAAGATGGTTCACCAGAATGTGCACGTTCCTACTCGCCTGGCGGTTATCAAGGCGTTTGAGGAGGGTAAGGCTGCATCTGCGCGTTACACATCGATGCCACTCGCCAGTAGCCCATTTGCCAATCGCTAAATGGGCCACTTATGTACTCATCCACTGACCCAATAACACCGTTTCCCCCTGACATCCTTAGGCATCGCCGACTTCAGAGATGTCATCCACGAGGAACACCTCATTATGCTCCGTGAGCAGCGGAAGATGAAGGAGAATCGCCGTTACAATTTTTAGCTGCCGCACGAATCAGGGTTGACTTGCCACGTCGTCCACGGATGGATGCCTCAAGTGGACTAACTGCCTTCTGCAGCACCGCCCCTTGTTGCATGCCCTTTGCTGCACTGCGTCTCGCTTCTTTTTTTTTCATGTCAAATGCGAACTCTTTGCGGTAGTCGCCGCAACACATCTTTCGTTTCTTCCAAGGGGGGTTGGGCGATCGGCGAAGGCAACTCCCTCCCGTCACCCTCCTCTGTGCCATTCGCATAAACCTTTCGAGCAATCCACGGATCCGCATATACACATATAAATACACACACACCTCTGCGCTAGGGACACTTATGCCGACTCATGCCCCACTACAAAAAGGTACGTCCAGCAGATTATCTCAGCACTGATGGGCTCCTTCCAGGGGGTTCCCCCTACTGTGACGAGAACTGCATCCGCTTCTGTACCTTTTAACTGTGCAGTCATAAGTGGAACAGATCGTACCACTCCTTCCTATTGTATATTTCTTGCTTGCACATGTTCAGGCATATTTGCACCATCCCTGGGGAGAGTTCCTTTCTGTGACTGAAGGGGAAGTGGGTGTCTTACGCGGATACACATGTGTGTTGCGTAGGTGCAACTGTGTACACACGCCTGCGGTGTTACAATGGGGCGCGGGGATTGAACCTCCTGGTTTGTTTGCCCCTCTCTCCACCCATCACTTCGGATGGTATGCCAACGCACATGCCTCTTTGCACACTATTGCAACGCATGTGATGATCGAAGAAGTAGCGGAAAATAAAAAAAAAAAAGAAAAATTCTCTTTATACCTGTATCCCCCTCATATGAACAACAGGCCCAAACGTGTGCCCTTCTTAATCAGCCTGAACAGTGACGTTAACACAAGAAAGGTAACACAGGGGTGGAAAAAAAAGAAAAGAAAAGTTATGTCCCCCCCAATGCGTACACAAGTGAGTAGGCAACAAATACAGAGGGGCGAAAATCGGAAGCCTGTTACTTCACTTGTGCGACGCGTTTAGTTTACGTAACGGCGATCTTCCTTTCAATTTCGTCTTTCCCCCCCAAGCGGCCATACGACACAGGCCTGATCATTCCGTTGGTCATTCGGTTTGTCATCCGTTAAGCCATTTTGTTGTCATCCTCGCCCTTCTTATACTTATTTTTTTGCTTCTTTTCCTGTGCCCATTTTCTGTGGCCTGTTTTTTCTTTTTTTTTTCATCGCCCTCCCCCGGCACACGCAGCACACCCTGGTACGGGTATGTTCGCAGGAAAAAAACTCGGCGAAGTTTCGTTGCTAGGAGGGAAAGAAAAAATTACGAAAATAAATCCTCTGCTTCTTCTTCCACCCCTGGCCCATTGCGTCGCCGTATCGTGACCAGTGCCATTCGTGCTATTCACCAGTCGCCGCTCACCATTGTCGTCATCAACACCTTATTGCCATCCCGTGGGTAAACACAGGTAATCGCAGGAGAGGGCGAACAGCACTTCTTCCCGCCGCAAGCATCCTCACATGAGTTACAAAAGCGTTGCGCACGTATAAAGTGTTATGCATACGTCATGTGCTGTGTGCCATGCGTTAGGCGCCACGCGCGGGTGGATGCGGAGCGAGGGGACTCCAGCGCTAAACGGCACTCCTGCGGACACGCAATTAACTGCTCGGGTGAGCGGCGCGCCCGAGTAAGAGTGACCGACTCGCTTGAGTGAGTGACACAGCGTAGTGTTTTATGGGCATATATATATACACGGCACACTCTATTGGCACTTTGTCCCTCTTTTTTTTTTTTTTTCTTTTTGTTCAGCCAAACGCATTGGAAGAATTGCCTCCCGCAGACGTTTCCAATTTACTCTCTTGTGCCATCCGTATGCATCCTGTTATGCACGTGAGTAAACTCCTCATCCATGCGTATCCTTGAGCGGAGGAACGAAACGAACGAACGATCAACAGGACTATTAACTGACTATCGCCGGAGGGGACCAACGAGCGATTGACTGGATTGATTCACTCCATTGTTACCCCTTGTGCATTCAGCCCGTGTAGTTCTGTATTCTTTCCTTTTTTTTTTGTTTTTTTTTTTTTTTCTTTACACCTCGCGTGACGTTCACAGATTATATGAGTAAATTAGCCGAACGGTTAGTGAAGCCCTCCTCTTTGAAGGTAGTAGCTCATAATCATCACTGGATAGAGAAGCGCTTGTGCCATTAACCAGGTAAGGGCTCGAAGCTATATCCGGACTTGCGCGTCGATCATGCGTAACATCTCTTTGAGTTGTATGTGCAAGGGGTAGGAGGTATTGTCCCAATCGCTTCGTACTATCTGCTTAATCTTCCCACGTGGACCAATGGACCATGTGTTATTGCTGCCGAGGAGGGAGCGAAACGTAGCTGCTGCATCTCCATTCAGTTTCTTCCACTCTTCCCTTTTGCAGACAATATGGGGCTGTTCGTTAGCAGATTATTTAATCGCCTCTTTCAGAAAAAGGACGTTCGAATTTTGATGGTGGGGTTGGACGCAGCGGGGAAGACCACCATTTTGTACAAAGTCAAGTTGGGCGAGGTCGTCACCACCATTCCGACGATAGGTAGGGTGGCACTGCCCAGTGGGTAGAGGCGGCAACGACCAGGGCGGCAAGCTGGGCCACTAACTTGGCTCTCATCTCCGTGCATTGCTCCGTTCTGTGGCTACTTGTACCCTCTTCCATTTACTCCATTCGATTATCACATCGGTTTATCCACCTCCCCCTCTCCCAGGTTTCAACGTCGAAACAGTGGAATTTCGGAACATCTCCTTCACGGTGTGGGACGTCGGAGGACAGGATAAGGTACATTTGGAGGGAAATGAGACTGGGGTCGTATGCTCCCCCTTGTTCGGTTTGTCGCCAAGCCACAACTGTGTGTGCATGGACGAAGTTAAAATCGTCTGTCTTCATATCCATGGTGACTGTCTTTTTTTCCCCTGTGCAGATAAGACCCTTGTGGAGACACTACTATTCCAATACAGATGGGTTAATCTTCGTCGTGGACAGCAATGATCGGGAGAGAATTGACGACGGTAAGTTTGGGAGAACGATGCCATGGGGAGCGGCGGAGAAGGCACACCAAATCGCGTGCAGATGTGTGTCTCGCCGAGCTGGGCCCAATCCATTCACCCCTTTTGTGTGGAGTTCTTTCATCCCCTCCTTCTCCCCTCCTTTCACTTCCCACCCCCGCAGCGAGGGAAGAACTACACAGGATGATAAACGAGGAAGAGCTAAAGGACGCCATAATCCTGGTGTTTGCGAACAAGCAGGATCTTCCTAATGCCATGTCTGCAGCCGAAGTGACGGAGAAGCTGCACCTCAACACGATCAGGGAGAGAAACTGGTGCGTGAGAAAGTTGACTCGTCCTATGTGTAATGGTTCCAGGAGGCGCCCTTGCAACCACGCGTGAAGCCGGCCGAGACGCCACCCAAACGGACCCTACAGCAGACCAATGCATTCCTTAGAAATGTATTGCTTACCGACGCATTGCTAACCTGCGTACCCTTTTCCCCCCCTTGCAGGTTCATTCAATCCACATGCGCAACGAGAGGCGACGGACTCTACGAGGGATTCGATTGGCTCACCACTCATTTAAATAATTCGAAGTGAAGAACCGTTGGAGTGCTCCAGCTTTGTAGTTTTTTTTTTTTTTTTTTTTTTTTTAAATGACCAAGGGGGAGAGACTCTTCTGTTTTTGCGTCTTCAATTTGCATCCTCTGCCCATGCATATGACTCTATGCGCGTGCGAGAGGTGCATGTGGCCCCTTCTGGAATGTCGACACGGAGGATGTCCGGAAGGAACATTTCGTGGGTGAC